CGCCATTTTGGAGAACGCGCGGCGCGCCACCGTGGACCGACGCTGGCGCCCCTGGCGGGACGCGCAAGAACTCGCGCGCGACGTCGCTCTCATCGGATAAAGGTTGTTTTTGTGGGCGGTAATGGCGCCGCTTAGGATCCTCTCATGGGACGTCGAAGGTTTACCTTCGGTGAAACTTTCAGGAGCACCTACATGCGCCGGGTGCGTCTTTACAATACCCAAGTGGGCATAAAGCGGAACCGCGACGACGAGCGGCTGCAAGCCAAGATGGCGGCGAGGTGCAAATGCCAGAAGTATCGGTAACCCCTGCTCCGCAGATTTCGCTAGGAAGGTTTTATCGCAGCAGTAATTGAGCCGGTAGCCCGAGAACGGCGGTGATAAAGTATCAAGTGGTTTATCAGGCGAAATCCTCCGAGTGGGACCGCCGCCATTTTCGCCGCGGATGAAATGGCCCAGCAGATTGCGGCACGTAAAGTGCGTCCTAAATATCCACCAAGCCGTGTTCTCTTCTCCGTCCTTCCTCCCATCCTCTGCCGTCGCAATGGCACTTTGAAAATATATTTTCGGCGTCCTCCAAAAATGTTTATCCAGCACGGTACGTCGCGCCGACCTATCTACCCGTCTCTGCTCAAAAGGCAGTCAAGCCTCCGCTATATTACCTTCAACCCAAGAATTATTTCATTTTATTTTTCGACGATTTTCAACGAACACAGAATCGGGCGTCTCAAAATTGTTCCCCCATCCGTTCCCCCGCGGTCGATTAACCTCGATTAACCTCGGGTGTTGGTCAGGAAGGAAGATCGACGTAGCCAAAGTGAAGTTAAGATAACTCCAACAATGAATTTCCTCGAAACAAAGGACGAGTAGCTGTATGTACCTACTCGTGTATGCACGCGTTTTGTGTATACTCGCCTGGATGTGTACACGCGCAAGCGCAGTCGGCGTCAGGCGGCATCGGGCATCGGGGCTCGCCATTTGAATACATTTCACGGTTGCTCGGCCCCGAAAATTGGCTGGCGATTTGCCCCCGTAAATCCGGAAAGATATTAAAAGGCAGTTCTGCGGCGCGAGCTCAACAGAGCGGCGCAAAATTATGGGACACCGAGAGAGGCGGCCGAGCGCGTTCTCCGTAATGGCGGCGACCGCTCGGCACCGATTGCCCGATTATCGATAGGCTAACCGCCTTTAATTGCGCCGCATTAATTATAAGCGGCGCTCATTGATTACTGCCGATAGCCCCCTGCCCCTCTGTCGCGCTTCACCTTTATCCAAGGCCTCGTCCCGCTTCGGGTGTGTCCGCGAAATTAATTCCCGCGCCTCGGCGATGTGAGCGAACCATGGCTGCCATGATCTCGCAATAAGGGGTAGAAGCGTTTCATGCGGAAGGAACGAAAAATAAGCAACTTTTAATAAACGATTTTAATAAATTCACGAACATCGAGACAGGATTTTCTGGTTTCCAATGGCGATATCTCGCGTCTTGGGCATCGTCACGTCGGTGAGTCGTCTTAGGATGGGGATTTCGTCAACAGGGACAGATGACGACAACATGCAAATTGTGTTAGGGCCACCTCGCAATCGAAGTAAAAGTACTTCACGCGGAAGGAACGAAGAATAAGCAACTTTTAATAAACGATTTTAATAAATTCACGAACATCGAGACAGGATTTTCTGGTTTCCAATAGCGATATCTCGCGTCTTGGGCATCGTCACGTCGGTGGGTCGTCTTAGGATGGAGATTTCGTCAACAGGGACAGATGACGACAACATGCAAATTGTATTAGGGCCGCCTCGCAATCGGCCTTGCGGCGTGTTTCGCGAAACTTAAGCCGTAACGCGCAAGTGTCGCGTTACGGTCCGAGCCCTTAGCATCCCCATTTATATGGGGCGTATAAACCCCCGCCATTATCCCGACCTTCTGGGCGCGGCAACTAAACCCGCGAAACTTAAACTCGCCCCTTATCCGGGAACTTTCGCCCCGTTTTCGACGATCGGAGGGAAAATCCACCCCGTGGGAGCCGACTCCGACCTCCGCCATTTCGGCGACCCATTCGGCCGCCCTGGAGAACTCGGGACGCTTTCTCCGGGAAATGATGCATTCAATTTGGATCGCGAATGGCCGACCACCACGAGGCTCGTGCTCCGGGTCTCATAATCGCGGTTGGCCGTTCCGTATGTTGCAAAACTTGAGTCGTAACACGCAAGTGTTGCGTTGCAGGTCCGAGCCTCGGCATCTCCCTCGGCTCGGGGCTTCCGCCATTATTCCGACCTTCTGAACACACCGACAAGACCCCGGAACTTAAACTCCCCATCTGGCCGCGTGTACCTTAACCCACCGTCTCGTTTCCGACAACTCGCCTCGTGGAAATTAATTCCTACCTCCGTCATCTTGGGGGAAATATTTAAACACTCGGTTCGTGGTTCGCTTTCGGGGGATTTTTCCTTTTTCCGGACCGTTTTTCGACCCCGGAGGTGGAGGTACGACCCGGCGCCCCTGAAGCGCGATATATGTGGTAACTCGTCCATGCATATATGCATATATATATATCTGGAAAATTAATATCCGAAGTTGGCTGGCGGGCAACTGCGGCCTGAATAAACTTCGCGCTTGACTCCTTTCTCACCTTCGTGCCCGATTTTCTCTCCCCCTCCCGGTTTTTGCGATCCCACCCTCGCGACTCGATATTAGCTGCGAGAGAAGTTATCCCCTGCACCGGCAGAAATATATTCGAAAACTTGAGCAATGATATGATTATGCGTCCCCACGGGCCGCGATCGTAATAACCCTGTAGAGGATAAGCTCTTTTTACGACTGGTTAATGCCAGATCCCGAAACTTTCAGGGAGTTATGACTTTCGGTGCCAGCCAAGTTTTTCGGACTGTCTCCGCGACGGAACGAAATTCGCTCCGGCCAATCGGATCCGCCATTTTGCCCTCCAACATTTTTGCACCCCGGGTGAAATTGTTCCACAACTTTATGAACTATTTATTTCGTCGCGGAGAGGTGTCTCTAACGCTTTGAAGTTTCGAGCAAATCGTAGGTCTGACAGGTTGTCAGTTTTTCAAAAAATAACTAGGCCGAGATTGCGACAAACGAATTCTGCCCCGGGGTGTGTATGTGTGTGCGTGTATATATATATTTGGAAAGTTTAATGGTGATGCGATTATGCTTCCCCACGGGCCAGGATCGTAATAACTCCGCCGAGCATAAGCCCTTTTTACGACTGGTTAATGCCAGATCCCCCAAACTTTTCGAGAGTTATGACTCTAGGTGGCAGCCATTTTCTAGGAACTGCAACTCCTCGATAAAGTGGACGAATCGATAAGGTTTTCCTGCCTTTCGGAAAACGGCGTCCACGAGGAGGCCTCCCGGACCAGCGGCCCGATCTTTATCCAGAATAGATGAAAATGTGTCGTAGGACGTTTCCCCTCGGAAAATAATTCCACTTTTTAATTAAATCAAATCGTCCAACCCGGTGGACGCGCCGTACAAAACGTCGGCCCCTCCACACAAGCATGGGAGATTTGTTAATTTGAATAGGGTATTCCATGAACGCGAACAAAGCACTCTGACAAAACGCGAACCACCGACGCGGTCCAATTACAGCTCGGATGTATAATTATAACGTTAACTCGGTTAATTTGCGGAATTCCAATTACCACTTCCGCGAGTTGCGCGTCCCTTCCTTTTTTTTTTCCCCCCAGCCGCGTGTCGCGGAAATGTCGAAAAAATCCCCCGCGCGATCTATGTGACTAGAATAATTAATTGCGCGCCGAGGGTGGAGGCGCCACATTTTTCGAGGGCTCCTAAAGCTCCCAGGACCTTTTCCTACAGCTTTGCGAGCCCACTATTTCAATGCGCCTGTACAGAAATTTAACGAGCAGTCCGACTTTTGCAAAATATAATATTTAGAAACGCGTAAAATCCGCCCCACTTTATCGGGCAATCGCAGGTCGGACAGTGCAATCGGAGGGCAGGGTACAATCGCACCTGCATTCTATTTCAGGTGCGAGCGGTCCGCACTAATAGTACTGGCCCGGGGGTGTAGGAGGTGACACCGAGGTACAAATGGAGGCAGAGGCGAAATACACCTCCGACCTCGTATTTTCGTCGGGGCATCCGGAACATAGAAAACCGTTGCGCGAAGAACCGGGGAAAAATCTAGGCGTCGTCGAATCCCTTCCGGCGTTTCCTCCGTTTGGGAAATTGTCCTTCTTTTTCTCTCGAATCGACGACGCGCAATTTTTAGGGGCCCTTAAATGTCAAAAAATCCCTTTTCCAATGTACGCCTTATTTTTTTAATCGATTTATTGAAGGAGGCGCCAGAGACATTTGGCTCGTCGGCTCCATCAGAAGTCCGTTTCATCGGGAATAAATTTTCACGACGCATTAAGCGCCGACGACACGGCGAGCTTTTTCATACATATATATATATCTTTTTTTCGTCCGGAATACCCAGACTGCAGAAACGCATCGCTTTCGGCTCCCCTCTGGTTATTATTGCGACGCCCATTGTTGGCCGCGATACAATGAACCTCCTAACGACCACCATCGCTTTTTGCGGATTCGTTACCGCGCTACGAATCGCCATTTATATCGTTACTCTTGCTGACGCGACGATTTTCAACATGTCCAATACAGTTTTTATGCCTCCCCGTTCATATTGCGCGAACCCCGACATTGATGGACGTTAATTTTCGAAACCTCCCTATTTTCCTCCTTTCTTTTTCCCTCCTCTTCTTCTCTTTTTTTTTTTTGTTTTTTCAAACCGAGTCTCGTAAATCACGCCGCGAAAATGGAGTCGCTCGACGAAGCGCTCCCGGAATGTCGAGTCAATTATATGTCCCTGATAAAGTTTTCCTTCTATATTTCGGGAGCTGTAATATTGAGAGCTAAAATCGGAATACTTTATGGAGGGGTTTGAACATCTTTTCCACCCTATATTTGTCAGGGGACGCTCGATTAAAGGCTTTTGCCTTTTGTCTTTTCCTTGTTCCAGGAAGTGGAAATCTGGAATTGTTCGATAGCGAGAGCGGGCCGGACCTCACGCTATCACCTCAGACCTTCACATCCACGGCAGAGGCCTTCATCAACGACAATAGCGACAGTCTCGGGGTGCCTGGTGACAATGACACGGGTGAGTTTTTGGCGTTTTCCCCACTTTCTTATTTCCTCTTCGCCTTGGCATAGAAAAATCGCTCACAAGATAGGAACGCCGATATGAGCCCGGACGAAGATGGCTCCTCGATATTTTCAGTCATCGCTACGCTCTGACAAAAAAATTCAAAAGCGTGATTCTCCCCAAAAATTGATTCCGACCTGTTCTTCGGAATGTACCAACGAGGGAAATTCGAGGGAAATGAAAGGAGCGGAATTTCGGAATAACTCCCCGCGTCGCACGCGTTATTATTTCATGAAGCCCATTTAAACTCTGGAAACTCTCCGTCCCCATGGGGCGGGTGCATCAACGTAGAAACAATTGCGGAGCAAGAAATGGAGGAAAAATCCGCGGGTGTCCCCCCGCAGGAAAAGAGGCATTTAAATAGCGGGGGCATTAAATTTCCACAAATTTCGAAATTGAACGAGGGAGGGGAGCCAGACTTTTCCGAAATTCATGTTTCCCCTCCGGCCGCGCGGCCGCGTTATTATTCCACGAGGCTATTTAAACTCTCGGAACTGTCCAGCCCTGGGGGTGAATCCGTCTGGTGCAAACATCAACACAGGTACGAATGCATCACAATGGATCGCGGTATAATTACACTTACTAAAACGGTGAAACTTCCTCTCAGCGGCCTACCTGTTTTGTTCAATCCGTTGCATTTTCAGTCATCCCTTCGGATGGTTTTCGGCGTTCCAAAATTCGTGGAAAAGGTTACGACAAAAAAAAATTGCAATAAACAAGAAGAGAAAATTTTCCAAAGCAATCTCGTAATTCTTCACGACAGTGGATCTGATGACGATCGTCGATTTTCTCGACTCGTTGCACAGCGGCGAAAATGACGAAGATGTTGGCCGGAACCTCAACAATGAAATTTGTAATTTAGAATTATCGATCGTCATATTGGGTAGAGGAGTAATTTGGACATTTACTGTCAAAAGGACGGAAGCCTAATTGTTCTGTATGTCAGTCTGAAATTGACATTCGTACGAACTGCAGGCATCGGTCTGTAAGAAAGAAAATTTTACTGCATTTGAGTAAGCGTGATTTCTTTGTACAGAGGGTCTTTTTCCAATTCCGTAAATTGTACGATATTGCTAGAGAATCGTAGAATATATTATGCCTTTTAAAGTTTATTTTACATCAGTTAAAAAGTTTTAAATATCCCAAAAATTATTCCTTTATTCCGATGAGCCCTTCCTAACATATTTTCAATTACCGAAAAACTTATGAATCCCGTGATATACCGCGGTGTTTCGAAGAAGAATCTTAACTTTATACCATTGTTCGTTGTAATTAAAAAGAATTGGGTGCTGATATCTGTTGTCCTTATTGTACGAGTAGAATAAAGTAAGATATCTTCGTGATTCACATTGCTGGTCCAAGATTCCCCGCCTCTTATGTTTAATGCGTGTACAGTTTTACATTTAGCAATGTATTTTTGTGCAAAACAACGATAAAGTAGGAAATTAAAAGAAAAAGTTATGACTTTAAATACAGATACATTTCGTCAATGTGTTCTTCCGCGGTTAATTTTTCATTTCTTCACTTTTCCTCCCGAATAATGAAAGACTTAAGAGATAAAACTAATGAAAGATAATATTAAAATACAAAAATTTCACATTCAGGCAGCGAAATAGTTTCGACCATGTTTTTCGTAATTTTCGCCACTGTGCGTTGGCTGGCACTGCACCAAGTGCACTTCATCCAGCCGTCTAGACCGATCGGTGCAAGTAGTGCACCTCGCGCATGCGCCGGACGATTCGTTATTAACAAGGTCACGTGACCGGCAGTAAAGACAGATAACGTCCGGATGCCCCGCAAAGGCGGACGGGGCAGCAAGAGCCAAACGCATTCCGGATTCCGCAGGCGCTCCCTGCGCGTCCCGGGCAACTTCTTGCGATATTACTCCCAGGCATGCCAACTTCTTGCGGGACCCGGAATTGTTCCGCGATTCCCGGGACGACGACGCCGGCGCCCTCTTTCCCCAGAGGGAGCATTTGTCAAACCTCGTGGCGAAACGCGCAAAACGCCCCGAACTTGCCGCGGTATATTTTCGACCGCATGAAGTGCGGCTCCAGGACGTGGGGTGTGGTAATCGTTGGCCGCGAGATAAAAAACCAGGGAAGTCGAGGGAGAGGAACGCAGGAAGGGGATCCCGTCTATGGAACCATTGTCCTGGATCGTATTTATGGAGATCGGGGTGGGTTATCGAAATCTCTATCGGGAATATCGGATAACTTCGGACGATGGAACGGCGATGGTCTCAGGTTTTGGGCGGTTTTTGGGGGTTGCAAAATGTAGGGTGGAGCCGAGTTTGTTTCATAGGGACTCCGTGGCAATCGACGCTATTTGCCGGCGGCAGGGCTGGGAATTTCAGAGGCCGTCGATGTCAAAGGGTAGGGCGACGCTGAGAGGTGTTTTAGCCGTCCTTGTAGCGTTTCGAGCGCCGGTATAAGAGCCCGTTGTCTCGCTCGCTCCAAGGGCCGCCGAGAGGGCGCCAGTTACGAGCGGCTGAAGGTGCCGGAGACGATACCTCGTGCTTCCGGTAATTGCTTCGACTCGAGAATGCAATATCCCTTTTTCCTTCGGGGGTCCCGCGCTTTTTCTACTGTTAGTGAGAGTGGATTGAGATTGATTCGTAGTTAGTGTATTGTTCCGTTCCACGATCCACGGCTCGAAGGACCATTAAATTTTATGTTGGTTCGATTCGCGAAGGAACGGCTAGAGAATTCCTGGCTGTGAAGTGCGGTCAACGAAACTTAAACATTTATTTAACAATGGTCGAACTTTACAGTTAAAGCGGATTGACAATGAGATAACGGAGTAAAGGTAACGGCACGATTATGAATGCCTAGTTGAGCGGGCCACTAGCATGAGTGGACTTAGAGAAGTTAAGCGCGTAAGAGTGGAGAATCGCTGATCTCGCGGGAGATCGAAGCTATCTCGCTAGATACCGCGGACGCGTAAAGTCGCGCGGGAGACCGAAGGACGCGGTAATGCCGGGACGCTGATGGTCGCTGCGGCTGTTCAATCGTATCTGGTGGTTGGGACCAAAGTTTGAAATAAGAGGGTCCCAGAGAGAGATTTCAGAGGCGGAGTTTTGAAGAAGATCGGCGAATTGCATTTTTGTATGCAGCCGATTGGTCTAGAAGAACGTTGAGGAAAGGGAGATTTTAGGCAGTTCCACAGGCGTAAGTGGGGACTGCGTATGCGGTTGTCGTTCGAGAATTTGGAGAAGCTCTAGAAGAAGCGTAAAAGAGCGGAAACCATAAATTGTCCTAATTGCGGACGTGATCGAGAAGTACGAAGGTTTTCTTGGGAACTTTAGAACGACATTTTCCAGATGGGTTGGAGGAGACAGTTGCGGATGAAGAAAGGCGCGTTACGAATTGAGCTCAAAAGACGTTGTCGCGACGACGACCCTACCTCCAGGGGGTCGACGCCGTTGTCGACCCTTGAAGTGTGGTCGGCGCGCCTGGACGGCGCGACAGGACGCAGAGGCTAGCTTGAACCACACGGGTCATGATAATTATTGATTTAGCTCTTGCTAATTCGGCGCGAACATCTACCCCTGGCAGGATCCCGACTCCCGGGTTCCTCCTTTTCTCCGCCGTGAGCCACTTCGCGGATACCCTTCAGGGTTCCTTAAACACGGCCCGGTCTGTCGCGAGTCCAAATACGGAGGGACTCGTAAATTCGACTCAACGTTGATTAACTGTCAATTTATTCCCATTACGTTTCCATAATAACTTCCAAGGGGCCCTTCTTGATCCTCCGGGAGTTAGGCGAGAAGGAATCCCCGGAAAAATGGCGACGTCCCTCGGAAAGTGTACACTTCGCCCTCGGCGGGTGATAACCAGAGCACGGAGGGTCCATTCTTCCGGGCTTCGGGCGGCATAGTTATGCAAAATGGCGGCACGCCGGGCGGAATTACGAGGGCGGGTCGCATCCTAACCTCAAACTACTTAGGAGGCACGGTCAATTCGACACCGCGCTCGTAAAGCCCCGCTCGCGAGAAAGCGCACGTCCAGGGCGCGCCCTGGCGGCGGCGGGCGGAATCGCGACCAGGGCTGTTCCACCATCCATTTTCTCGCTCTCGATCCTAACCTCCAAATCAATACCTTCCCTAATGGCGCAAAATATCGGTCTTTTATTTCCTAGATATTTAACGAATATGATATATTTTGTAAATATCCAGCAGACATTCAAAATATTTGCTAAACACTTACCTTAGAATGTTATTATATAATATTTGTATAATATTAGCCCCACATGTTTTCACAATATTTTTCTTACAGATATACAAAACATTTCCTATCGTTTTAATATGTGTTACTTAAATATTATCTGCAGACATATAAATGTTTTGAAAATATTTTTTATATCAAAATCACATGTTTTGCTCCCATAACGAAATAGCGGGACGCAAATAATGCAAACATTTGTCGTATTCCTTGATACCGAATAAACTGTCAGTGTTAAAAATCGTAAAGTAAAGAATGTATTTTCATTATATGTCTGTAAATTAAAAAATATAATTTCGATACATGTTTCTAAATGATTAATACAAAATATGTTATCGGGATTTTCAACAAATATTTGAGGCCGCCAGAGAGTTTTAGGAAAGATTACAAACAAAATATGTATAAAATATTCAATGCCACTAGGGTTCCGAAGTAGAATGCCGCGAGGGAATATCAATAACGTCGAAAAATCATCCTCTCCCAGTTATTCCCAAAGTGGATCCGGATATTCCCAAGTCCAATTTCGGGACAGGAATTTTGTGCGTCCTTGGTGCGTTGGCGCGCCCAAAGGAAGACGGGCGGCGGGCGGTGGGCGGAAAGTGGGCGGCAGATGAGACGCGGAGGGCGACGGTACAACCTCGTTGGCTCTAATGCCGGCTATTCAGCTGCCACAATGGACTAGTAATACGATTTCGTCGTCGCGCCCGCGTGTACACAGAGACCGTCCGGGTC